ATTATTAATTTTTTTATTTTTTCTGTATAGCAGGATCAACTTAGACTGCCAGAAGATCCTGGAATATATGATTAGAAAGGTTTTGGATGCATTTGTCAAGTACAAATATACTGTGAAGTGAACATTTATCATGTGTAGGTCTTTCTACAAAAATATACGTAATTTTAAAGTGCGGAATTCTGAAAATAAAAAAATATTTGCTCAGGCGTTGGTGATTAAAACGCCTACACCCCCTTCATAAAACCCCATTTGGGGTCATAAAGTTAATATCAGGGTTGATTTTTTGGAGCCACTTCTCTTTAAGACTGATATTTTGCACTGTCCTCTTACCACCAACTTAGGAATTTCATCTGGCTGAGACATCCAAAGGAAATGGGTAGCTTCCGTAGCAAATTTTCGACTGCTGTCAAAGTTAAGTTTTAATCCTCTAATTCCGAGGCAAATATCGTCCATTCATTTGGGTTGAATAAGACCAAACGTAGTTAACGTTGGGTGAAATAGATCCAATAATGAGGTAATTTTGGATTTTGTTGTGTAATATATATATATATATATATATATATATATATATATATATATATACTTGTGTATGTAATGTAACATTCTGTCGTTAGAGACTAACGAAATACAAGCTACTTGCAACAAAATAGAGATTAACGAAAAACCTTATTGCAGTAAGGGTCACCTTCACTTTTACAATGTAAAGAAGCTCATATGTAACGACTGCAAGAAATTAAGTTTATATTTATTAAACACAAATAAACATACATCAAAAACAATATTTCTGAAAAACATACACAGTTTAGGGGAATCTTTATCGTTTTTTGCTACAATCCCGGATAGAGATGTAGACACAGAAACAGACACAGACAGACAAATCATATTTATATTTCTTTATTACACGAGGAAACAGCTTCCAGATATGGACATTTTAAAAGGTCAAAGTCCTCAAAGTGTTCCATGTTTCTTTTTAAATAACCAAGTTTTCATAGGAAATACATTTTGGAAAACATTTAGTTCGATTTCTAGTTGAATTGTAATTTTCATACATTAGCTTGGACATTATTGACAACGATTATTTATTCCATAAAAAGTACAACGTTTCGAGTAGAAACGGTTAAATTGTCATTTGCCGCGTTTAAATCGTTTATTACTAATTATTCACTATCGTATTAGGCTAGATATTGATCACTTATCCCTGAATAATATGATTTCAGTTTAAATTTTACATTGAACATAAACAATGATCCGAGGCATTTCAAATAAAACCCAAAAGAGCTGGTGCTTAGTTTTAATAAGCATTTTATTAATATATATATATATATATATATATATATATATATATATATATATATATATAAATATATATATATATATATATATATATATATATGAATATATATATATATATATATATATATATATATATGAAGAAATATAGTCTTAAGATGTGCTATATTTATGGGATAAAGTACTCAATATCAGAGATAGAGCGTGTGTAAATATAAAAGTGAACATAGAAGTCAACACTTAGAGGCGACAGTCTGTTTCATGCCAGATGCAATCCTCAGGCCACGAGCATCAGGCGATTTCATATATATATATATATATATATATATATATATATATATATTTATTTAAAAGTATTTTATGGTACAAAACTTAACAATAGCTAGGAAAAAGCAAACTTTATATGGCATTTTAAAAAGCTAAAAAGAACAACTGGTTTGGTACCAGCCTTATCAAGTTTATTTTTCTGGGATAAAAAAATATATAAGCGTGTAAATTAAATTAATATAATGAATGGAAGGGAAAAATGAATTTCAAGAAACTAGAGTCCAATAACATTCATATGTCTCGTAATATTAAGTTTTATACTTTTATTTCGATCATTAAATTTTGTACCTACATAAACATCTTTATATATATATGAAGAAAAATATATACGGAAAAAACAAAACAAAAATCCTTATATACGATTATGCTGTTTTAATGTTAATATGTCAACGTCTGACGTTTCGGTCTAATAAACCATCTTCAGGACATATTCATAAATATAACATTATCAATACAACATGACAAAGACGATGTACATTAGAACAAGACTTATCCAAACAATAACTGAAAGTTTTATAATATCAGCGCTTATTTTCATTATTTTCAGCAAGGCATTTCTTCGTAGATTTTGCAGTATGTTCAGGATCATTATCTTGTTCGAAGATCTAATCAGGAGAATGTTCAAGATTTTCAACCGAAATCATTAAATATTCTTCAATTGTTTTTATATGCTGCGGCATTCATTCTACCATCTATTACTGATACGTTACCAGTACCTTTTTCAGAAAAACAGCCCCAAACCATGATGCTGCCACCATCAAATTTCACTGTTGGAACTGTGTTCTTTTGTTTGAAGGCATCGCCATCTTTCCTCCATAAATGATTTCTAGAATCATGTCCAAATAACTCAATTTTGGTTTCAATGGTAGTAAATTGAATGTTGTCAGATTTTCCTGTAACTTTTACCTTCTTTCCAGAAGTTAACAATTAGTTCATTTTGCTAATTTGTCAGTTTTTTACCTCTTGCTATGATGAAATTTTTCTTGCACGTATATCGATTACAGAATGTTCTATTTGTATTTTTAGGCTAAAAGTAACTACCGATAACATTACTGGAATATTCCACTAGACTATTAAAGCAATTAAATTTTTTACAATATGAAATTTGCATTGTACAAATACTTTTCTCACCCATTAAAATAAATAATTGAATTTATTTCTATGAATGCTGATGCTCGAGAGCCTGCACGGCTATATCAGATTGTGTTTCCAGACCGAAAGCTGCATAGGCATTCAATTATTGCTGCTGTTTTTCGTCGCGTTGCTGAGACATGATCCGTATCACTACAAACTATGGATCGAGGAAGACCGTGATCTGCTCGTACGCTTGACTACGGAGAAAACATTCTACAGGCTGCCGGAGACGATCCAGGTATCGGCACACGTCAAGTGGCCCTAGCATATCGTGCATCTGATAGTACCGCATGCTTCTGCATCCATATGATTTGCAAAATGTACAGGGTGTTTCGCCATCTGATTACTCAACAAGGGAGAAGTTTTGCCAACGGTTTATTGCACAAACTGTTGATCCTTTGTTTTTCTCTTCAGACTTGTTTATTGGGCGAATCGGAATCCCCATTTTAAAAGACAGGCTGGACATCAGCATCAGTTTACGATTAATGTATAGGATGGAATTTTAGGTGATTGTCTGGTAGGTCTATATGTTCTAACACTTCTTACAGGAGCTGTCTACAGGGACTTTATCTTGAACTCACTTCCAGACCTGCTAGAGGATGTACCCTTGCTAATACGAATCGCATGCGGTTCATGCATGATGGGGCTCCAGTATATTTTAGTCATATTGTTCGCGATACACTGGCTGACATCTACCATGAAAGATGGATAGGTAGGGGAGGAATGTTTCATGGCCTGCACGTTCTCACGACCACAATAACAGAATTAAAATATTGCGTATTTTTATTTTATTTTCATTTAGAAAGGAGATAATATTGCTCGTTTCCTTTTACGTTTATGATAATTTATGCCAAGTAAAACATTAGTTTTTGGGTTTCAGCAGACCTTTGGTTTAGATGATTGTCAAGGAATAACTGCGATTAAATTTTGGTGGTGAAATTGAATTGTAACGAAATGAAAACGCCGTGAATCAGGATTCATCATTTTTTACAATATTTTTTTACCAAAACGACCCTTACGCTGACCCAAGTTTCTTTTTAATCTACCATCACTGAGAAAAATATTCTTGATAAGTATGCTGTCAGAGCGTGAAATGAAAAACATCTACCTATGTTTAATAGTTTATGCAAATGTGTTCGATAATGTAAACCATAAAATCATTTTGCACAATAAGGAAATGTAAATATATTAGAATACTCTGGAGTATTTCCTTGTAGCAAACTAGGAGCATACAGTGAGTTAATCATGTACTCCAAAATAAAATAAAAAAGATAAAGGCAAGATAGAGATATGTTTCTCACCTGATTTATTTAACCTATAAGGCAAACAATGCAAAGAGAACTACAAAACTGACAAGGATTTATTATTAGTACCTATAATGTTAACAAGAAAAGTGTGGATGTCGGCCGAGAAAGAAAACTGCGAGACAAGGCAGAGAAAGAAAGTATTAATAATTAACTATAAGAAGATAGATTGCAGAGTCCTAAGTACCTGCATGAAGCCAGAACAGATTACGGAAAATATAGCACATCGGATAGCGAAAGTTGCATTCCGGAAATGAAGCAAAATAAGAAGACAGAAAGATTTCGTTAGAAAAAAAAAAAAAACCCAAAACAGGGATAAACTGCAGTCATATTTGACTTATACAGCAGTGAATACAGGACAATTTTCTCTCACATGAAGAAGTGATACGGAGTGATAGTTACGTGGTTCTATAGACAGAGACTGAGAATAACAAGGAGAGAGCATGTGAGAAACAAGGAAGTTTGAAAGAAAATGGGAACGCGTAATATAATTAAAATCAGAAGGAGAAAATTGAAATTTCTGGAATATAGCAAAGAAAGAAGGTTTGGAAAATTTAACAGTCACAGGACTAATTGAGACAAGGAAAGACAAGGGAAAACGTCCTAATTATTTTAATGCGAATGAACTGCAGAGGTGGGACAAGATGGATGGTAAAGAGTTTAACATTGCTCAGACGTACAAGAGACATGGCGATGCGAAAAGCCATTATCGTTCGCGCCTTGAAGGGACTGTCACGTAAAAGAATAACAATCTTGAAATTATTAAAAACATACCAGGCACATTTCAGATGATAGCAATCTTATTGCTTACATCTTCTTTAAACTAAAGTGTTTTGTATCTAATGTTCATTTTTTTCTGTTTTTAAAAATATTCTTTCCCGTTTAATGAAATTTGAGATGAGTTCGCTGAAGTGAAATATTTCGATGTGCCACACTTTAGAACATTCATGATGAGGTGTTCAAAGCTTCTAATTGATATTCATCCTTTTCCCTGGAGAAGAAAAATTCATAAATTAGTATCAGTCAACCAAAATCTGTATAAATGTTAAGTAGGTATCTCTAAAGAAAAGTGATTCATAAGGTGTAAAATGAATTTTTAAAATTGAAAAATATTTCTTGAAACTTTTAATTTTAATTTCAAACTAGTGGATTAAATTTAATATTTTCTATAATCAAAATAGTTTTCAGTATTTTAAATTTCAATTGATTCGAGTCATTTAAAAAAAATTGTAAACAAGACTGATTTAGCTATATTTAAAATTTTCTAAGCACAACGTAATTATCTTTATTAAAAAAAAAAAACTTTCAAAAGTAAAATATAGTTTTCTAAAATATTATTTAAGGAAGGTTACCTGATGTTAAATTCAATTAATCTGATTCGAAACAAATATTCCTTACGTTTAGTTTAAAATATCGCAGAAAATCATTTTTGAAAACGGACGTGATTGTTTCCATGAGGTGTTATAATAGACTTGATAGACTTATGTTTTGAATTTTTCTCAACGAGGGATATAGCTGTAAAAATTACTTGACAAATATAATGTGAGTGCCTTTAGATATACATATTTTTTAACGAATCAGTAATACTTTATGAAAATATTCTAAGTAAATATTTGCTATATACTATAGTATTATTACTTTTATTTTCTGATAACGTCGTGTATGAACATACGTATTTACAAAAATCAGCATGATGAATTTTCAATTTATGATTAGTTAATATAATTTTTAAATTACAATATCACCTGGCCGGGACAAATTAATACAGAATTTTAAAAGATTTAAAACTGTATAAATTAATCTAAATAAAATTCACAAAAATGAAAACAATTCTTGTAAAAATCCCTTCCTCACCGAAATATTTTTTCTTAAGACAGTAGTGTCCAACATATAACTTATTCATAAAAGCAATTTAAATTTAAATTGAAAGTTTTCCTAATTAAATAATATCTTAGTTTTATCGCAATATTTATTTTAAGATTCACTGCAGATATTCGGTAATTGGTGTTCCAAGTTTACAAAAACATTAATGATTTAAATTCTCCAAGGAATCCTCTGTGTTTTCGCGGCAAAAAACGCTAAAATTTTGTATACTAATATTTTTTTAACCCGTCGACGTTAGAAAAAAATTGCCAACATGACTAAAAAGGATAAAAAATATACTTTAATAATTAAAATATTTTTTGGTCTTTCCTCTTAATAATAACCTAAAGATTTTGAGAACAGAAATTAAGTTTGGTCCATTTTTTCATCATGTATACTAATTTTTGCGAACCGTTGGAGGTATGTAATATTAATTCATTCAGCACATTTAATAAGATGCTATATAAACTGTCTTCCTCAATCTTTTGATATTTGTTAATGTTTACGCTAATAAAAGAAACACCTCTGAGAGAAATTTGTAACTAATTGGTAATACAACGATTAAAATACTTTTGCAGATGATGCATTCGTCAAGTGATTCAGTATTCAAAGAGTTACCAATTATTGATGCCTTCTGTTAGATTTAGGCAAACTTCACAGACGTTAACCCAGCGACTATGTGACAATTTACAATAATGATTTTTCTCGTTTAAAAAAACTTATCTTAATATGTAATATTTAATTTTCAAAATCCACAATATAATTATGAATGTAAAAATCTTTTGTTAGAACTGCCTTGGTAGTTTTTCTAATTCAGAGAAAATGCGTTTATCATGTAATCGGGTGTCTGTCGAACTCTCTGCTAGTAGAGAGGAACCCGGACGAAGCTCCGCCGAAGGGTAGGGTTTCGTTGGGGGAGGTTGACGGAACTGGCCCGCCTCGGCGGGTTTGGAGGGTTATTTATTTTTGGCTGGGCCTACGGGCTCAGAGATACCCACATTAAAAAGGCCTTGTGCCACATTCGATCCCCGTGGGTGGATTGATAAATACCATCATGTAATCGCCCATTTAACTATAGTTAGATGCCAGGAAATTGAATGATTCTTGTCTTTCCAAAGGGTATTAGCACAAAGCGAACTGCCAGAATTCGAACAGGTTTTCCATTTGTTTTCTATGGTGATAATTTCATAAAATAATCAAAATAATGTTACCTTCTAGAGAGAAATTTTTGCTTGAAAATATCATCAAAAGTATCCTCCATGGGTCTATTGTTGGTTTCAGGAAGGAAAAGGTATGATACAGCAGCTAAAATGCAAACAGTTCCCATCGTCAGGAGCGGTAAACTGTCACCCAATGTTCCATCTGCAAGGGTTTGCTTGCATTAAAAAGAGAAAGATAATATTGTTTAGTATTTCTTTGTATAAAAATATAATAATGTAAGAGGAAATGAAATGACGAAATTCTAGATTATTTTTATTTGAATTCTGAGCGTCAAAATTAAAATGAATCAAAACAAGGTCTACCTGGTGAAGTCTTCCTTTTTTCAATAAATAAAAACAGTAGTTATTTAGTTTTGTAAAAAATGAAAAATGTGCATTTCATTTACTGATCCAAACATACTTCGCTGATCCTGATATTATAACATCTCATTTATTCGAAATGAAAAAATGTTGCATTCTTTCAGTGAAAATTCTAAACCTATATATATATATATATATATATATATATATGGCTTTGAAAATGACGGAACGCGTTCTTTTAGAGGGGCCTTTTTCATCCAATACTTCTTCAGAAAGATTCGTTGGACTAACAGTACTGCGAAAGTGACAAAAAGTTACTGATGGTAGGTAAATGAGTAACAACAACTAAATTAAAATTATTAATAAAACGTCACAAATCGGTTTAATATACCTTTTCAGTTTCGCCATTTTGATTATGATTGTTGCAAAGACATGTCTCTTTAAAAGAATGGTATATTTAAATTCTGTGATATAAAATGTCTTATATATATATATATATATATTAATGCAGTACTCATCGTTAAAACGAATCGCGTTCTCTCAGTCACTGCTGTGTTTATCTAAAAATAAATACGATTAACTTTACCTCCACTGTACGCCAACGGCTTAGGGGTAGATTCTCCGACTGATGCCAATTCAGCCAGGTTTCGATCCTAGCTAGAGGCAACCGGATGTCTATCCACACTGATGAGCTGTCATACAGTGAAACATTCTGTCTGTGGATGACAACATATATGATCATGCTATCGAGCCGATCATTTACGGTTGTCATTTTTCGTCACAAGTCATTATTTGATCAAGAAATGAAGCATTTCAATTTCGTAGATACATTGTCGAACACACATCAAAACATTGAACAATTTGACTTACACAAAGTTCATCTGGAACCTACATTCTTCACCTTGCCAATTTTCTTGTGATGACCCAATATTGTTGAAATGATGATCCACATTATCTGAAACATTTCTCTAACACTTTGACATGGGTTTTGTTTGACTAGTCTCTTCAGATGTTGTCAATTGAAGATGGACGTCTTCTACAACCTTGATCTTCAAAACTCGTATCACCACTGAGAACTTCAGAAACCAATGTCGAATTGTTGGATCAGAAGGGGATTGATCACCCCCAATGTACTATTAGTGTTGGCATCAGTTTGAGAAACATTATGACACAGTTTGAACTCATGGAAATAATAAACACATCTCTTCTTTTCTAATTCTCAAGATGAGGGGTATATGAAGTCTTAAGTTAAATTCTGAAAGATATTGATATAAAATTAACGAAAAGGATATTGTAATCATGAGAAGCGACTAATATATTTTTGTAAACTATTACAATAATTTATTACAACACAAAATGTTTATTCTAAAATCGTACATTATTTTCCAAACAACCTACTAGTAAAGCAGTCAAAGTAGTTGACTGTCTCAAAATATGTCAAAGAAAGAAAAACAAACATAAGCGAAACATTCTCACATAACATAAATTTGATTTTGTCATTTAATGTGGTAGAGTAATTGAGAAAAGGAGATGTTGAAAAATAAAAATGAAATAGATCAATGAGCATAAATATCTGACGTAAATTGAACCAGATTTAATAAGACATGAACAACACTATTAACATTACTTTAACTTGGTTGTGTTCAACAAGTAGAAAATCCTAAGCAATCACAAAAAATATGCTATTCTAAATTAGGCCCTTTCATGCGAGAGACATTTGCAAAATTCACAAACATTTTACCAGCCGTTCGAGGACAACTTCTCTTTCTTAATACTCTAATAATGAAGAAAAGGAACTTCACAACAAATGATAAGGACAAATTTCTGTAGACAAATAGAACTGGTTTCCAAGGCAAAACATAATCTCATAATACATTTTGTAAGCCTACACGCGTGATGTACACCTGCAACAGTGAAAGAAAGCATGTTCAATAAACCCATCTGTAGTACTATAACGGAATCATTTTAATGAAGCAACTAGTACTGCCGTGAATTACTTCTACTACCCCAAAATGTGGCACAAATCATCAACCAAGTGAGAGATGCATCATCGTTATTGCGTCCTGTAAAACTGGGTCGCCTGTTGTTCATGATGACGGTCGTCTTTGAGTATAGAATGCAGAGGTTAGCAGTGAATATTTTGAAAACAGTAGGAAAGCGTTGTTCAGGGTAGCAGTGGATATTTTGGTAAAAGTAGCAGAGCGTAGTTCGTCCTTCTGTTTCTCTTCGCCTGACAAGCTGGAACTAGACATTCGGGTAGGGTAGACAAAATGGCCGCCTTTATACACGACGGATTGAATATTCTACGTCTTCTGATTGGTTAACCTTCCATTGGTGGACTATAAAGTGAGTCAAGTCATTTGGGCTAGCTCACTAGTTACATAATGTATCCAAAAATTGTAACACCGCCAAGGGCGTAGATACCAAAAAACTCGCCTCGTCAGATCTTGTCCAACTGAACTTCGCAACCCCTGACTAGAACTTGATATATATTGCTCGTCAAATCTATAGAATGGTCTTCTTGGTGAAGGATACGTCTAGGTAATAAAACATAAACTTAGATCAACACATACGAGCAACGAAGATCCTTGCTATAAAAGAAATTATTTAACTGCTGCGAGAAACCAATGCTAGGCTTTGGAAGGTGTCCAGTATATGTCCTATTTTCAAGAAAGTAGTTGTGCGTTCAACGCTGTCTACGTATAGACCCATAAATCCTCTGTGTGTCATTAGCTAACATTGTCAAGCTATAATCATCAATAAGGTTGTTAATCACTGCAATTGGAACCACATTTTCAGCAACAAGCAGTACAGATTTCGATTGACTTGGTCCACTGCTAATATCCTAATTTTCATTACTCACAGAATCATTGAGACATACGACAACTAATACAGCTCAAGGACGGTCGCATTAGATATTACAAAGGCCTTTGACAAAGTGTAGCATAAAGGCTTACTATACAAGCTCACTCGCTATGGAATTACTGGACGATTCTTCTCAAATGATTATTTCTAACGAGTAGGTCCCTGAAGGTAGTTGTTAAAGGCTGTACATCCGAGATCGAAGCGATTAACGCAGACGTCCTCCAAGGATCGCTTCTCTTTTCAACCCTCTTTCTACTTTTCATAAATGATTATTCTCCGATCATTTGTGAATATATCTGCTGCTGATACAACGATATATTGGTACTGATGATACAACGATATATAGATGACCAGGGCATCGCTGCTGATCTCTCTGGCCTAGCTTTAACAGCTCCGTGACGATAAAACTGACTAGTGACGTTCCATCATCACTGAACGGATGGTGGGTTTTCACCTATTTGGAAGAATGGTTGCTCTCTCCAGGAAGCCCTATGCATTGAGTATCTATTTGAACTGAAACTCAACCCAGGAAATTGTACATCGCTAAAGATGTTGGAATGATTGTCTGACTCTTTATGCTATGCTCTAATTTTATAAGTGTCAGAACAGGCTAAAAATGGGTTACTGTTGCATTTATGGGCAGGATTCGATCAGTATTCACTTTCATATCCTAAATCGTCTCTGCATCCTTGTGGGTAACGAATTATCCTTCCACACTACAAACCTTTTCCCACAGACGAAACGGTGCAAGCCTCTCATTGCTCTATGACTATTTCTATGGAAAGTATTCAGGCAAACAACATTCTGCCATTTCTAACCTTCACGGGTTAAGACCCGCCATGTCACGCACATTAAAGCGAACTAGACTTTTCCCTTCGTATTCCATTGATGACAAGTAAGTTATGCTCGATACCTTCCCATGAACCTCTGCTATGTGGAACCGACTCCCGATTACTATAATCTTAACTAGTTCAAGTCTAGGGTTAACCATTATCTTCCCCAGCTATATTTTTCTTTATCATTTGCCCATCTAAGTTATACTGCAGATATCATAATACCGGAATTTATCCCTGATGTTCGAACTAGTCTTATATGTACACTGATTGTTGTGATAGGATATATATTAGGTAAAATAAATGACATAGTTGAAAAAAATCTGTAACGCGTTTCGTCCTCTGAAAGAACTTAATCAGACTAAAGTAAGATTTTGATAATTGACTTTTGTAGGAGCGTGAAGGAAGCATTGGTTAAAATAATAACCGATAGGAAAAGCTGAAGACGTGGAAAAAACAAATTTTACATTTTTTCACACGTGTCTGCACATGCAGTCTATATGTTCTCATTTTGTTTATGCTTTTGTTTTGATCCATTTTCATATTAAGTATCCCACACTGTGATACCAGATCTCTCATGAAAGGCGAAATGCTAGAACCTGGATCCAAATTTATCGAAGATGATCTCGAAATCAAATCACTTTCTATACATTTCGACTTAGTAATTTGTTTTCTCTTTTAATTAAAGCATCATTATTTAAATCGCCCATGACCAGACTCATTTCGATGAACGATTAATGTAATAGGTGTATTGTTTTGTAAAAGAACTCTGTTGAGTTCATATGATCTTTTATTTAAATTCCTTGAGGTTTCTCCTATGTATTTTTATGGCAAACATTACAAGATGTAGAGTAAATTCCAACTTCAATTTTTATGATATTATTATTTGTATTAATCAGGTCTTTTATTGTTTTCGAATTATTTTTAAAAAGTTATGTTTAGAGGAAACTTTTTCAATTATAGTTGTGGTAGAGTACGTAGGTAGATTAATCTACATCATTTTGTTAGATTTGATTGATTTATTTACTCTTTTATTCTGAAGTAATTTATGAGCATTCCGTTTCGCGTTAAATATGAAATAATTATGATATTGGGGAAGCGTAAAAGTATTTTCAATGTATTTTTCTTCAACACGTAAATATTGAGGTCTTAAAATTCTGAGAGATCTCTATCTATAAAAGGCAGGATGTGTGTGTGTGTAACGAATGCACGGCCGCAATTTTCGACGTATTTGCACCAAAATTTACATGCACATACTCCAAGTTAGCGAAAAGGCCAAGACCGACTTTGACTTTTCCAATTCCGATCGATAGTGGAAATAATCGATTTTTTCATGCTTCTACGGCACTTTTCCTGTAGTTTGTGGCCGTTTTGTACTGGCCAGAGTGAGAGCCAATAGCTCGCTGCCACGAATAGGCAGGAAGATTCTATTGGCCAGCGTGAGAGCTAACAGCTGAATGTTAACTAGCATGCTAATATGAAACCTGATTTTCTCAACACCTTGCAGTCAGATCTTTTAAATAATAATTATCAAAATAATGTTTATTCTCGATAAGACGTTCTTTTCGCCATATTGTTTTTTGGTTCCGAAATCTAATAGAAATCACCTGGAAGTTTGACTATAGCATAATGACACATTTTACATACCATCATTACAATGTATGGAGCTATGACACCACCGACTCGAGCAAAGGTAGACATGGCTCCCAGTGCTCCGTTTCTCACACAAGTGGGGTACAATTCACAGGTGTGCAGGTAGATGATCCCAAAAGCACTCGTAACGAAGAGTCTGCTTAATATAGCCAATGTTGTTGTCATCCATTGTAAATCTGAATTAGAACATCAAAATAGCATTTACCAATTTAAACATATATAGCAAACGTTTTCATAGGCAGTTTTGGTCAAAGAGGATGTGAAATCTGAAGAAAACTGAGGCTTTAGAAATATAGAATATGAGCCTGTATTAAGTAAGTATATGTACGAAGTCTCATTAAAAAGTATTGGGACTGTTGCTATGATAACGGAGCTAAAGTAAGCAGAATAAAGCCGCTTAGCACTGATAGACCTTGAACTCTGTCTCTCATGCACACTAAGTTATAACGTCCTTACTCATTTTTGTTGTTTATAGCAGTGCTTGGAACGAGGTTGTATAGAGTATGGTCATCTCATTGCACCATAGAGGTTCCATCACTGACTATGGCTTGTGCTGCCTTTTCTGGCCAAGAACAATATTCTCCAGGTTCGACAACCTTTATATTCCCCAGATCTCGGCCCTTGTGTCTTTTACCTCTCAAAAATTAAATCCCACTTGAATGGAACAAGATTTTAAGACATCGAGGGAATCCAAAAGATGTCCCAGGAATGATTCCATCGACGTCAAATTGGATAAAGTATGTGTCTTCAGAAGGGGACTATTCTGAATGAGGATTAAATATCGAATTCATATGTGGTGTTGTTTTCCTTTTATAGCACCAGTTCCGTTACTTTTTGATCAGCCCTCGTATGTGTATAATTTGAAACACTTCAACAGTAATTCATTCGTTTTCACGGAAAAATCATTCAGTTAAAATTTTGAATACTGACTTCATTTTCTGAATTCTACCTAAGTAAGATTCCTTCAGAAAATGGTTAACTAAATCTTAGAGCGAAAAGAAAAATTAAAGCAGTTTTCTCTTACCATCTGAAGCGTACATAAGCGGAAACATTGCCACGATTCCGCAAATTCCTCCGATAAACATAAAAACAATATACAAGTTCCTTCTGCCAACTCGGTTCAATAAAGCCATACATATGATATACCCAGGGATTTCCACCAGAGCACCGAAGAAGAAATTCAGGAAGATGTTTCCACTGAGACGTTCGGTGTTAAGCAGCAATCCGTAATACACAAAACTCGATACACCCCTGCGGATATAGACAATAAAGTGGTAAATAAAAAATATCTTTATTAAAACTATTCACGTTCTGTTGCTCAGTAGCTTCAAATCGTGATAGATTTTGCGTCTGTTAAAGAAATAACGTGCGAAATCCTATCTTTATCAATAGATCCCAATGCCTCATTTGATGCAAAGTGTTTCCATCATTCGCCTAATTACTCTCAGGTTTTTCAAGTTCAGTTTAAGAGTCGTGCATTTCTCAGGATGAAAAACATAGAAACAACCAGTGCACGACTGCAAACAAAGCACACGCGATCTCTTTCTTTAAGAACGAATTGATTACCAAACTGTGACTGCTTTTGCGTAGTTTGGGTGGTAAACTCAGCAAGCGTCGTAAATGTCAAGAAAGCAAGGATGATCATATGCACACTTATCAATATATATGGTTCAATGAATGTACATTTTTATTATGAAAAATCTTATACAATATTTTAATGTAAGTTTTAAAAGTACATAAACATTTTTCGAATAAAAACTGATATTAAAATTGCTATTCGTATGTAGGATTAAACGCCCAATTAAAAACGAAATTTTAATTATTTAGAGCTGAATAAAAGTTAGTGCCAAATCAAGCCTTCCCTTTCGAGATAGGATAGTTTGATATGTTTTATTGAAGAAAAAGAACTGAGCAAATTTTAGTCTTTACCTAATTTAGACTTCAAGAAAACCGAATATTCATCTAGATCTATAAAAGGCAGGATGTGTGTGTGTGTGTGTGTGTGTGTGTGTGTGTGTAACGAATGCACGGCCGTAATTTTCGACGGATTTGCACCAAAATTTACATGCACATGCTCCAAGTTAGCGAAAAGGCCAAGACTGACTTTGCATTTCCCAACTCCCATCGATAGTGGAAATAATCGATTTTTTCATGCTTCTACGGCACTTTTCATGTAGTTTGCGACCATTTTCTACTGCCCAGAGTGAGAGCCCATAGTTGGCTGCCACGAAGAGGCAGGAAGATTCTATTGGCCAGCGTGAGAGCCAACAGCTGACTGACACGAATGTTAACTAGCATGCTAGCATGCAAAAAAAAAAATCGATAGCTGCATTCGTCACAAGTGGGAAAAATTTAAATCTGCACGGCACTTTACTCCAATTGGCTCATTCGCTTGCTTAAACTTAACGCTGATTCTGATGCCGCAGAACTGGGTTGGGTGTGAAAATGTATTTGTTGTTAACATTCTTTTTTCATTCGGTTTTTCCAGTTACGAGTCCTTTTTTTTAAAGCTGATTGTGTTCATTTTGTTTAGTTCTTTTTTCGTCACAGATTTAATGTTTAGTATAGAGCTTAGAAAAAATTCTCAGTGTGAGATAGGCAAGAAGTACGGCATGTAGCAACATCAGCACGGCAAAGGGCACTCCTTTAAAGGCAAGGAAGGGCAAAAATATTGTAAGTCAAGTGATAGCGATTGCTGTATGAGTCGTACGATTTTTGAATCAAGCACGGGAAACGCCGTGCCATGCTGCTAGTACTGAAACAAAATTAAGATGACGTCATGTGTCTTATTACAAAGACAGTTTTGAAATCTCTTATTCATCATTACTCTGATGGCAATAAAGAAAGACATTCAAACACACGATGAAAATAAACTTTAAATACTAAATGCGGATGAAGGAATCGGTTCTCTTATGTACATCCTTATTCATCGTATACTTTTTCTGCTTGATGTTTTTGTAATGTCTTTTAATCTTTTGTCATGTGCCTTGGTGAAAAGGGCCATATCGACAGCTTTTATATTCAATCTGGTCTTTCTTATATATGTGATTTGCATGGTCCCATTAATTTAATTTTTATTAATTTACTCCAATCTCTACTGTCAAGAATAATACGGAACAGAATCAATGTTCCAAAGAATCAATCTGGTTTCTAAATTAGTAAAAAGAAATTGAAAAACATATTATCTTTACTAAACTTACAATAGTCACAAGGCCTAATCGGAGAAATGAACCGAGGAAATATATTGCTGTCCGATAAAAGTGACTCACCTGATTTTTTTTACTTAAAATTTTTTTCGCGTATTGATTTGGGGTCAAACTAATTTTTAATCTTACTAATATAAAGACCCCTTCCCGACTACCTAGTAAAAAAGTTTACTCACCCTAAGGTATTCTCTTGATAATTATAATTTTGGATATAAATGAGATTTAGGGAAAAACTCTATGCAACTAGTAATCAATAGAAACATAACCGAACAACTTTAAATAAAGAATAATAGAGGTATAATTTATTTATAATAGGTAATACAGTTCGAAATATTTAATAATCTATGGGTCCTCCTTTATTTTGAATAACCTTTTTAAAACTTTTTTGGCAATGACTTGATTAGGTTCTGGCAAACCTCATCTCCAAGCATTGAATTCCGTTCGGATATGAAATTCACAATCAAATCCTCTTTGTTGCTCAACTGCTTTCTCGAGAGCCTGTACTTTATAATACGCCATAAGTTTTCTATGGGGTTGAGGTCAGGAGATTGGGGCGGCCATGTCATAACACTCACATGTTTCTCATCAAAGTATTCCTTCATCAATTTTGATTTGTGACAGGGAACATTATCCTGCATAAAAATGAGCTTGGTAGGGTCGATTTGCACCCTTTCAGCAGAAGGGAGCAGACACGACTCTAAAATTCTCTTGTACTGCTCGCTCCTGAGGGTCTTTTCAATAGGTTTTAAGAAACCAGTTCCATGAAAAGAAAAGCATCCCCAGAACATTATACTGAACGGATGCTTGACAGTACTTACTGCTAAATTCAAAGAGCTTTCAAAGCTTCTTCTTCGGGTTTTAGATCGCTTATCCTTTGAATTTAGCTCAACTTTCGTTTCATCGGAGAAGAGAACATTTAGTAAAAAAAAAATCAGGTGAGTCACTTTTATCGAACAGCTCTGGATGTTGTCAAACTTTAACTTAAAAATCAGCGTATGAAATCGAAACATTTACCTCTGTTAGTACACCTAATTTAAACAGCAGGTGAACAGACATACGATCAGATAGTGCTATGCTATTAATGGATTTTTCTAATTATTTAATACGTCTTAACTCAGCATAAAGTGGTTTGACAAAAGGCGGCGAACGCGGGCAACCCATGAGAAAAGAAATTATTGCTGAAGATAATAAAATAATAAAATAATAATTTTAACCATGACATTACTTCGGATGCATACAGATAACTAACACAGATGTTTTTAGAACGAAACAGTATTGTGTCAGATGGATACTTTAAAAACGTTGAATTAAGTAAAAAAAAATTATGGATACAAATTCTCCACGAACTTTAATAAACATGTACACCTAAATCAGTGTTGAAGACTAAAAACCACTACAAGAAAATAAATAACAATTCACTAGATCACCTCAACTTCAATTGAATAGTGTTGCTGCGTTCATCTTTATTGACAGCAACACCATGGATTAATGTTTAACAAATCAGTAGCGTAAATAATTCCTGTGTTGTGATTTCTATACGGGGTGTCCTACACTAGGGTACTTTTACAAGACTAAGCTCTGTTTAAGTGATTTTTATAATATTCTATAAAACAAAATATGTAAAAAGTTTTTCATAACTTTCAGTATCACTAACTTTCAGCAATATTAAAAGAAAATGATAATATATACAATTTTCATTACAAAAAATTCAGATACGTATTAAAAATATATATAAAACAAGACATACGTGTACTTAAACTAGAAAACGCAAAGTAACCTTTCTAGTTTGTAATATCATCATATTTATAATGAGAAACGAAGTTGTTCTTACCAGTTAAACATCAAAATTATGGTCCTTTTTAGAAGTGTTGGAATCGTAAATATTTTCCAGAGCCTGACATTCCGATCTTCAACCACGGAGATTTCTATATTTTCTCGTTTACAGTTGAAATCTCGCTTGTTAACTTTGGCCATTTTATTCAGAACGATTTCTGCTTCCTTTTCCTTTTTCACAGTTAGTAGCCAACGTGGTGATTCTGGCAATACGCTAAAAAGGGTAATAAATAAATAAATAAATATTTAGAATATGTCAGCAAAATTTTCTGAAGGAAAAAAATAGCCTTGGTTGCAATTTACAGAAATAATCGCATACGTAGGTTATAGTCGTTCTCATAATTACTGGAGCACTTGGAACAGTTTCACAACATTTACTGATAAAAAAGATTGAAACAAAATCTGTGAAAAAGAATTAAATAATGTTGAACATAGCAAAGGGGTTAATTTTGTTGAACTTGATGTCATTTGTTCTCCAGTAATAGCCATCAAATACATCGTGTTAATGCCGTGTAAATATGCAATAGAAACGAATATAGGATTAATAAAAATCACAGAAAGAAAGTAATTATGATAGTGGAAAAGTAACAAAAATCTCAATGCCTAACAAAGAAAATACAGAAAAAAGCAATTACCTTCTTTATAGTGGAGACGAAATTGTTAACAACATCCTAATCCTACATTTTAGGATTTTGCTAACAATTTAGTCTTCACTGTTAAATTGTGTTAAATGGGACATAATAAAAAAACAGCACATCAACTGATTACATTTTACTTAATGTCTCATAATGAAAAGATTTCTCGAAATAGGAAACAGAGTTTGTGATAGATTCCTTGCATTGAGAAAAACTGACAAATCAATAGAGTAGATTAGTTTTATGATTTGAAATTTAAAAAAAAATGCAAAGGAATTGTATGAGTTACAGATAAAGAAAACCGAATATTTCACTGAAATATTATGAAGAATGAGGAAGAAGGGAAACAAAAAGAAATGAAATAAAATAAAACAAAAAGCAAAAAAAAAAAAACAAAAACAGGCAATATGCAGAATTTGAGTTTTAAATCTTACCAAATGTAAAGCAATCCAGTCAATATTGGGGGGTAGAGAAACCAGTAAAAGGATCAGTGTTCAGGTTCGTATGTAATATGCCAATAAGTTCATAGTTAAAAATCCGATGCTGAAATACACTTGAATTACGATGGAGGCATTAGTTCTTCCAATAAATACATTGCTATAAGTATGTAGTAGTTTATGAAACCGAGAGAAACATAAAAATGGATGTTGTGAATTAATTGTTATGATACGATAGGTCTATTCTTTGTTTCTTAAATCCCACTCAACTCAGTCAAAAATGCAAAAGCAGTTTTTCAAAAAGGCTGAATACCTAGAAAGAGGATGACAGAAAACAGACACACAAAAAAAGTAAGTAATTTTCAGTTTTAAATCTTACCATATGTAAAGCAATCCAGTCGGTATTGAGGGCAGGGAAACCAGTAGAAGGATTAGTGTCCAGTTCCGTACATAATATACCAATAAGCTAAGAATAACGTAGCCCATGGTTATATACATGTGAACAGACATGGAAGCAGTCGTCCTGGTTTTCATTGAAGAAATTTCAGCACCTGTTAATTATAAGATGACATAAAAAAACAGCAATACGCCAGCTTGAAATTAGTTATGTTTAACAAAATGTAGAAAACAATATTTTAAAAAAAAATATTTTCGGATCTAATTTGAACACATTGTGTAGAGCGAGCGATAAAATCTATGCTAATGTCACAGTTCACTATTTTTGCGAATACGATCCTCACTGTGCGTTAGAAAGATTTTCTTTTCAGTTACCGTAAAATTACTTTGATAAATGCTTAGGTTTAATGTTATTAAGAATTGTTCATTATTAATATTAAGTGTTGCTTTCTTGTATTTTACAATAAGGAAAATAAGCCCATACATGCTTATGATGCACACATCACCAGCCGCCTCTCAAGATGACATCAAATCACACCAAAACTCAGGACACAAAATACTCGTGAGGGACAAGGATGTGATAACATCCACTGTAAGAAGAGTGTAAAACTGAAGGAATTGCTGATTTTAAATTAACAAGAAACCCGCCCATAATAATTTTAATTGTGAACATGGCTACAGCGTGTAGGTCCCATTTGGAAATTAAGAATAGATATATTTGTCAGTAGCTTTTATACATTTACAAGAGCCCTTAACTCAGGCCTATACAGCATCCGTAGCTCTTCAGGGACTATTTATTTAAAATGATCCCAGTTGCAAAATTAGTGGCAACTTTTTTTATTTGAAAAATTTTATATATTGTTAATGCAACCAAACGGTCAAATAATTGCAATTGTATGTGACAATAACAAGATCCATCAATATTTTTTTCCAAAAATTTGACATTTTTTAATAATCTTTGCTAAATAAAAGTGGCTTGTACTTACCTTTGATTATGTCTACCTTTTTAAAAATATTCAGAATAACTGGATCACAGAAGCTACTTCTAAATTATTATTTTATTTTGAAGACAAACGATAACTGCAAAATGGGAAATTGTAAAAGTTTTTTTTTTGAGTATGAAAAGACTCATTTCGTTAAACAGTTGAAACTAACTGATGTAGAACTTTACCCAAACCCCGCAGAGCGGCAAAATGTTTCCCATTGATTAAAATATATTTGAGATCAAAATGTAGCTGCCATTAAATTACATCAATTATTAAATGGGAAAGATACCGCAGAAAGATTTAATTTCATTAAAAAAATTAAAATTTTGGAAAATTGTCAGTGTCACAGAAATATATGATTGTACTTAAAAAATTATCATCTGAATATTTTTTTTTGTTTTTTTTTTTAAGTATTTCACCCCAAGCAAGGCGGGGTGCCACTAGCACGCAAGGGGTTACAGAGTGGGAGCGAGAATAAATAGGCGTGATAGAGGAAAGGATGAAGAGAAGGACACGGAATAGGTCGAGGCATCTGTAAATGTCGATTGACATTACATTTGAATAGCCGGCGAGTATAGCTATTAGGGAAGCAAGTAATAGAAAGAGGATTCTACAGACGAGAGTTGCGAGACATGATGCTATTCGAGTAGAAGAGACAGCTACATTTAACTGTTTCGACAGTGAAAGGATGAGACCGAGATGCCAGCCTAGTTGTACACTTAAATTCATGTAGTCTGAGAACCAGCGAAAGTAGATCATCGGAGCAGTTACCGTGAAAGTATTTGTAGAAAAGACAGAGAGAGGCGACGGCATTTCTGTGAGAGAGCGACTGTAGACGAGATGCCAGATCAGGGCCAATTATATTGCATATCTGTCTCTAGATAATGTCGAGGACCTGAAGACGAAAAGCAGGGGCACCAGACCATATATAGCAGCAGTATTCCATGCAAGGGCGAATGGTTGATTTATAGATTTGAAGGATGGATTCGTGCGATAAAAATTTTCTGGCGTGATATATGGAACCAACTTTCCTTGCGGTGGATGATGCTATTGGTTCAATTTATTTCTTCCATCTCAGGTCAGCGGACAGTTTGAGACCAAGCAATCGCAAAGAGGAGCTCTCGTGCATGGGAGGCAGGGATGGTTCCCTGTGGTGAGAAATAGAGAGCAGTTTTGTTTTTGAGGCATTAAAATTAACCAGTCAATTCCTGCCCCAGTCTACAAGCGATTAGAGGTCACTTTCGAGACTAACGGTCAGGTTAGATTTGTCAACAATAGCAGATTTGCTTTTGAGGCAGAAGTAAATAGTAGTTTTGTCTCCATAGATGGGTACACCGGATAAGTCAAGCGTTGAGTTCCGAGCAAAGCACTCAGCCGTATTTGCTTAGGATGTCAAGATCTCAAACTGGTTGAACAAAGGAGGCATTGTGGGTTTTTATTGTACGCTCTTGAAGAGACGCCAATAATCCTTGGAGCCGAATTGAGGACAAACTTGCACTCGTTACGGGCTGAGACAAAGAGATGTCTGTTGCAATCAAACATGTAATTACGATATAGGCGGAAGAAGTGATTCCTATGGATAATGGCAGCTGAGCAAGAAGCAGAGAACCAAGGAGATGTGCGCGATTTAACTTTATATTTCCTTGCGGGGTTGAAAGCCTCGATTCCAGCTTTTACCCAGGAGGAGACCTAGGCAGCTTATTCCCGAACGAGGAGCTTAAAGACCACATCCAAGAGGACATCGCGAAGGAAATCCCAGAACGAGTCCCGGTCTGCTCGTTTGTAAGAGAAGGATGTTCTGTTGGTAGGAGCTTATTTGCTGAGGTGGAGTAGAAGATGTTGAGAGACATTACAGTATGATCAGAGTTGCCAAGAGGGTAGAGCTGCGTGGCACGACAGGACTCGGGGATGGAGGTGAAACAGATATCAAGAAGGGAAACCTTACTGTCCAGAACCGTGTGGGAAAGTCAACTATTTGCATGAGAGATTGAGAAATTGAAAAGTTGATATCAGATTTAGATGATAAACATCTGTTATTTCTTTCTTATTCTGGGAAAATGACAAAAAGAATGGGAGGAAATCAAGGAAAAAGAATGAAATAATTAACAAGATATACTAATTTAGCCATTGAACATACATACAATGGCTCATTACTTTTACAATATTACTTCAAATGTTAATTTAGGTGAATAAAGTGATTTTTGTACATTTAGTTATTTTATGGTATTTTGTTCTTTCTTAGTCCATTTACATTTTTGAAATAAGTCAGTAATCGTAAGATGCTTCCTAATATCATATATCTTTGATAATTGACTAATTACTGTACATTACTAACAAGTTCCCTGCTAAAGATTGTCTCATTAATTGCTAATTAGTAGTAATTTAGGTTTGTGGATGTTGCGGTTTTTTGTGTATACGTATGTACTAGTGAGCTAGCCTAAATGAGCTGACTCATTTTATAGTTCACTAATAGAAGGATTAACCAATCAGAAAGCTGAAAATATTCAATGCGACGTGTATAAAGGCAGCCATTTTGTTTCTCCCAAATTGTCTGCAATTAAAAATAAAAAATTTCCTAAAAATAAGGTTTAAAATGACCGACTTGGGTCGACTATCATGGTTTCTTGGTATACAGTTCGAATTTAAAGGCAACACTATTACAATGGATCAATCTAGATACATCGAAATGATCTTATCTAAATTCAGCATGCAAAATTGTAAAACACGAACTACTCCATGTGAAATGGATTTAAGCACAATTATGAATAATGAAGATGGTATAGCGGCGTGTGAGAAAGAATACAGAACATTGGTTGGAAGTCTTATTTACGTCATCACATCAACCAGGCCAGATATCTGCTATACGGTTACTAAGTTGTCCCAAAACTTAAATAAACCGGCGACTGTGCATTTAACAAGAGCTAAGCAAGTGTTACGTTATCTAAAGTGATCTAAGAGTCGGTGCCTAGTATTTTGACAATCAGATAAACCATTACAATTGGAAGGATTTTCTGAAGCTGATTGGGCAAACTCACCAGATCGTAAAAGTATAACAGGCTATTGTTTTAAGCTATCAGACGTTTATCCAATGATCAGCTGGAAATCTAAGAAACAGGGAATGATTTCACTTTCTACTTGTAAAGCGGAATATGTCGCATTGTCACAAGCAACATAAGAGGCTATTTTTCTTAAATTACTAATAAAAACAATTACAACACTTATAATAAGTGACCCAATAATTATTTACTGCGACAATCAGGCCAGTATTGCTTTGGCTAGAAATCCAATAATACATCAAAGATCAAAGCATATCGATGTTAAATATCAATTTGTAAGGGATCTGGTACAAAAGAAAACAGTACAAATTGAATATGTTCAATCGGAAAATAACGTGTCGGACTTATTTACAAAGCCAATTACAAAATTGAAATTAGGGGCTTTCATTCCTGTCATATTTGGTACTGACCTATAAGGTCCTTATTAATCCTGAGCAAGACGTAAAACTGCATCCATTAAGTCACTCTAAGGTCCTGGGCAAGACGTAAAACTGCGTCCATTAAGTCCCTTTTAGGTCCTTATTAGTCCTGGGTAGGACGTAAAACTGCAACCATTAGTTATTGTCTTAAGAAAAGTCAGTTTTTGGTATGAATGTGAGTCCTTAGTTTCGGGGTATAAATGTAAATAGTCCTACTTTTAGCCCAATCCTCCTTTTAATGACCCTCAGGAACACTCTGGCCCGGAGTGATAGTGACTGTTTTAATGGGTACCAGCTATGGGTAAAATAACAATTTTTCCACTATTTTTGTTGTAATCACAACCCAAATTTATGATATTGTTGTTAATGTTTATTAACCTGAAGTATTTAACTGTGGAAAAAAAGGATATAACTAATTTTTGTGGATATTAATTTTCTTTAAAAAAAAAATTCTGAATACTAAAGTATTTGTTTCATATGAATATTGACATTACTAATATTTTGAAAGAAGATTCCATAATATACACAAAAATGAGGGGGTATTGCAGTTTTTTATGTATACGTATGTACTAGTGAGCTAGCCTAAATGAGCTGACTCATTTTATAGTTCACCAATAGAAGGGTTAATCGATCAGAAAGCTCAAAATATTCAATGCGACGTGTATAAACGCAGCCATTTTTTCTCTCCCAAATTATCTGCACTGCCAACCTGATATCGAAGACTTAAAGAATTACTTAACAACCGCTACTTTCTCTGAATCTTCACTGCCGACCTCTGATATTGAACAGATTACGGACTTCACTGGATTCCATATTTAGAGACTGCGGCAAACATGGTCAACAGTGGACTCCATACGCGTAGTTTTGGACAGGGTTCTTTTGGACAGATTTTTATTCAATGGCAAAATTGTAGCTGACAGAATTGTATCCTCCCCAACAGTACATATGGAGGTTGTTTCGACCCAATAAAAAACCCACGAATTTAAATACTGATTTTCGAACAGGTATGTTCATAAATATTTGAAAGATGAGGGCAGCCATATCTTCCTATTAAACATGTTCTCCCCTCAACCCAAGTGTAACCTGTTCTCGACCCAGCTGAATTCATAACTGACGTCTCTCGACATTTCCAATATCCAAATTGTCCTGCTCACACTATAGATAGAATCTCCAATGCGAAAATATATATTTAGACACTCAAGAATTTCGCCGATTGAAATTTTGAAATCTCTTACCAAAGACGACTGATGGAATATAAGAACCAGCGCCTCCGATAGCTGTCAGAAAACGGAATAAGAGAATCACACTGAAGTTCATAATTTGAGAAGAAAGAATTCCAGCTGCTCCTTGCAACATTAGTGATGAAATTATGACGGTCTTCCGCCCGAATCTGTAAAAGTCATAAGGATGCATTAAAGTAAATTAGTAGAAGCCAGAAGAAGAAAGATCTCTCTTCTTAAATCTGTGTATAACACATAGAAAAAAGTTTTGTATATGATTACCACATTTAGACACACGCATGCAAACAACCTTCGATCGGCCTATCACGTAACTGAGATTGAGAAGCAAGACAAGAGGTCGGTATTCAATACCCGCTGTAAGCCATAAATTCGAGGGATGTTCAAGGTTGCATGGTAGTCAAACACTTTCTGCTCGGAAAACTGTATTGAGACATCTTTTATGTCCCCCACTATTTCTCATGTATATTTTGTTGGACTGGCCTTCCAAATATCTGAAATAGTCATCTATTCGCCATTTTAAGTTTATTTTCGAGATCAAGCGAAAGCCAGGAATTCGAATACTGATTTTCTAGCTATGCTGACCGTCCTCATATGTAAAAAAAACACTATCTCTTATTTTTAGTATTTACATTAGTCGGACTATTGTCCTCATCTTTGTCGCCATATTTGTCACAAGGTTTCGGCAGTTGTACGCTCCGGCCTTCTTCAGGTGGTTGGAATTTCGAACTGAACCCTTTATTCCGATCACTAGTGTAGACTGTTCTAGTTCCACGTACCATGTTTGATGAATGTCAGTTATCAGTTATCTCCTGCTAATTTTCCCTCTGAAAGTTCTCCACTGACTTAACCAGCTATTGAACTCACCGTCTTTGGGTCTGTCACTGGATCTAACCAACTCCTTTATCCACTGTGCCATGTGTCCTTGAGGACATCCGGGTATGAACTTCTGAGTATTATAAACCTAATGTTTTCAGCATCATTGTTACCAGTGCTCATGTTGCAATTTTGCTGTTATCATTGCATGTCTTTACCAGAGTTCATATTGCAACTTTGTTATCATTGCTTTTTTCTGTCACTCCTTATTACTGGTTCCCATATTGTATTTATTTCTATGCTTGGTCGACTCAGGAGATTTTTGTGGCCTAGCATATGTGCTGATTCCTTAAGTTTACGGATTTTCCAATGGTGTTTCCTGTCTATGATCTCAACATGATCCCACAGGGGGCGGTGATCTTCCTACTCTCTCCATATGTGGTCAGCTACGCCTGATTTTTCTACTTCCCCTCGTGTTACAGCTTTCTGGTGTTCTTGAAGCTTTACCTTAACGGGGCGGCCTGTCTCTCCTTTATATTTCTTTCCGCAGCTGCACGGGATAGCGTACACACAGTCTTTAGTCATGTTCCTCTCTGTGGGGGCTCTCACTCGTGAGAGATATCTGTGAAGTGTTGTCACGCTTTTGAAGGTTGTCCTGATGTTATATGGACCGCAGATCCTTTGTATTTTCTCTGATAACCCCTTCACATAAGGCAGGCAGATTGTTTTCTGAGTGTTGTTGTCCTCCTCCTCCTCCTGTAACCGCCTATCCCAGTTTTGGGGGGGCTGCTGCCATGTACCCAGGGTAGTTGTTACGTTGTAGGGTACTACTTATACTGACCAATTCCTTATCTAACGTCTCTGGATCGCCACTTATGACTTTTGCTCGGTGTTGTAAGCATCGGACGATCCCTTTCTTTACGCTGTATGGATGGTGGGAGTCGAAATTGAGGTACTGTCCGGTGAATGTTGGTTTACGGTATACGGATGTCTTGAACCCATGCTCTGTTCGAGATATTAGTACATCCAGGAATGGGAGTGAGTTGTTACTCTCTTTCTCCATTGTGAACTGTATCGAAGGTCTTATTGAGTTCACATGGTCCATGTGAAGATGAGGACAATAGTCCGACTAATGTAAATACTGTACATAATACCTCATCTCAGAAATATAGACAGTCTCTGAAGGATCGGTACGGACCCGATATATCAAAAATATGGAGACAAATTGAGAAATCCTACCAAAAACTGGCACGAATATCGAACCATCTGACATTCCTACACCGATGCAGAGACCTACAACTCATCCCTTCAGGCTTGGCACCAAGACTTCCTATCAATTCAAGGAGAGCTCGTCGGGTCGCAGAGAAAGCGGGACACGCCTTTGTCTGAGAGAGAATCCAGTACAATCGTTGGATGAAACATCGACTACAAGCTCATATCTCCCAGACGCTCGAGGATTTATTCAACAGAATTACCAATGAAGAAGACCTGAGAAGGATCCAAAATGACTTGGATAAATCCTTCAGACATGAATTTGATGTAGTCAAGGCTCGCCAAGTGCAAAAATGAAATAGATTGAAAGATCAGAAGGTGACGCACAAGGTCCATCACCCACCAGTGAAAGCAGTAGTCAACATCAGCCAACATCAGCTGAGTGCCTCTGAGGAGTCAGTGTTGAATAAAGGTCTCAACTTCGCCACAATCATCAGGCGGGTGCCATTCTTGGACATCATTGTCAGAGTAGAGGAGGTGGCCTTGAACATCCCTCAGGCTCAGGCTGATGAAATGAGATGGAAAGTGAGACAGGCCTTGGAGAGACACAAGCTACCCAGGTCTAACATAACAAAACTGGAGAGACTGGCGATTGAATCACTACAGAGGAACGAAAACATCATCATACAACCGGCTGACAAAGGTAATACGACTGTAGTGATGGACAAATCGGAGTATACAAGAAAACTGGAAGACCTCATTAGCAATGATAGCTACAGCATAGTGAAGAAAGATCCTACTATGAAAACGGAACGCAAACTGTCGCAGATCCTAATCAAGAACAAGGATCACTTCGCACCAAAGACGTATAGGCAGTTATCGCAGCGTTACACCAAGTTACCTCACATATACGGTCTCCCTAAGATTCACAAAGACGGTATTCCACTCAGGCCGATTGTTAGTTGCCAAGGCTCTGTGTGCCACCCTCTGAGTCGCTTCCTTGTAGATATAATTGACCCATTGATCGGAAAGTCTCCTTCATATGTCCGAAACTCCGCCCACTTCGTGGAAATAATCAAAGATGCTCCCATACTATCCAACCAGATGGTGAGCTTGGACGTGGTGAGTCTGTTCACCAAGGTACCCACGGAGGAGGCACTCTCAGTAGTCAGAGATAGATTGACCTCTGACTCTTCACTAGAGGAGCGGACCAGTATTCCAATAGATAATCTGATGGAAATGTTGACTTTCTGTACACAAACAACCCACTTCGGAATGGGGTCACACATATATCGACAGGATGAGGGCTTAGCAATGGGCTCGCCATTATCACCAGCAATGGCGAATATATACATGGAATACTTTGAAGAAATGGCATTAGAGTCTATATCGCTAAAGCCAACTATATGGTTAAGGTACGTAGATGACACCTTCATACTCTGGCCACATCAGGAAGATGTCCAGGTTCTACTGGACCATGTGAACTCAATAAGACCTTCGATACAGTTCACAATGGAGAAAGAGAGTAACAACTCACTCCCATTCCTGGATGTACTAATATCTCGAACAGAGCATGGGTTCAAGACATCCGTATACCGTAAACCAACATTCACCGGACAGTACCTCAATTTCGACTCCCACCATCCATACAGCGTAAAGAAAGGGATCGTCCGATGCTTACAACACCGAGCAAAAGTCATAAGTGGCGATCCAGAGACGTTAGATAAGGAATTGGTCAGTATAAGTAGTACCCTACAACGTAACAACTACCCTGAGTACATGGCAGCAGCCCCCCAAAACTGGGATAGGCGGGTACAGGAGGAGGAGGAGGAGGACAACAACACTCAAAAAACAGTCTGCCTGCCTTATGTGAAGGGGTTATCAGAGAAAATACAAAGGATCTGTGGTCCATATAATATCAGGACAACCTTCAAAAGCGTGACAACACTTCGCAGATATCTCTCACGAGTGAGACCCACAGAGAGGAACATGACTAAAGACTGTGTGTACGCTATCCCGTGCAGCTGCGGAAAGAAATATAAAGGAGAGACAGGCCGCCCCGTTAAGGTAAAGCTTCAAGAACACCAGAAAGCTGTAACACGAGGGGAAGTAGAAAAATCAGGCGTAGCTGACCACATATGGAGAGAGTAGGAAGATCACCGCCCCCTGTGGGATCATGTTGAGATCATAGACAGGAAACACCATTGGAAAATCCGTAAACTTAAGGAATCAGCACATATGCTAGGCCACAAAAATCTCCTGAGTCGACCAAGCATAGAAATAAATACAATATGGGAACCAGTAATAAGGAGTGACAGAAAAAGCAATGATAACAAAGTTGCAATATGAACTCTGGTAAAGACATGCAATGATAACAGCAAAATTGCAACATGAGCACTGGTAACAATGATGCTGAAAACATTAGGTTTATAATACTCAGAAGTTCATACCCGGATGTCCTCAAGGACACATGGCACAGTGGATAAAGGCGTTGGTTAGATCCAGTGACAGACCCAAAGACGGTGGGTTCAATACCTGGTTAAGGCAGTGGAGAACTTTCAGAGGGAAAATTAGCAGGAGATAACTGATAACTGACATTCATCAAACATGGTACGTGGAACTAGAACAGTCTACCCCAGTGGTCGAAATAAAGGGTTCGGTTCGAAATTCCAACCACCTGAAGAAGGCCGGAGCATACAACGGCCGAAACGTTGTGACAAATATGGCGACTAAGATGAGGACAATAGTCTGACTAATGTAAATACTGTACATAATACCTCATCTCAGAAATATAGACAGGCTTTTATTTTTACTTCTACCTAATAAAATCACGTGATAATAACTAGAGTATAATGTTGTTGTATTTTACGAAAAAAGACAGATATTGAGAATATCAGTATGTTTCAATATATTGTAAAATGTCTGTAGCCCTCTACCTCGAGCGCATCTTAGGCATTGTACAGGGTGAACACTATTCCCTTTTGTCAATAACAAACAAGGCCTAAAATATAGGAAGAGAATATCATCATTTTCTTAACCTAGCTAGTCACATTCACTGATCTATTCGCACGAATATTTTTCTTCGCCCCTACATTTTCATTTGAACTTCTAAGTCATACTTGCAGACATAATGCCGTAATCTATCTCTGAAGTTCGAACTAGTCTTATATGTAGATTCTTTCTTGTAGTGGGATGATAATAACAACTTTAAAAATTTAATTCTAATGAATATGTACAATTAACACACACGCCCACACACACACATATATACAGGGCGCGATGAATAAATTGCAGTCTAAATTAAGCGAAAATAAAAATAACACTGACATCTTATTTTAACAGATATATTTACCAAAATTAAACAAAAATATCTTGAAATACTAAGGAGTAAATTTAATCAATAAAATCGCCATTAGCTTCAGTTACTGCTTCAGGACTATTTTGGAAACTCCTGCAATTCTTCTAGACGGTCTCCTTGTTTATGTTGGTGAATGCTGACATAATTCTTGCCTTCAGTTCAATTTTGATGTTACAATGACTTTTGTTGATCTCTCGCTCAACTGTGCCTCACAAATAATAATCAAGGGGGCGGTGACTGGATGTATCATCCAACTCCTTCCGAATCCTCTGCACTGTCCTCAGATTGACACCCAAACCCTCTGAAATGTTTGTATTGAAGCTTCCGACGCGAATGTCAAGCATGCCGTTTCCAACTTTCTGGTGGAGTGTATTGCGTCATGGTGCTCCTTTTCTCACAGTCGGTGCCCAACTGATGCTACAATACTGTGCAGTCGACAAAATCAAAAGCAAAGCAATATATATATATATATATATATATATATATATATAGGAAAGAGGTTATACTTGTTTCACCGAGAGAAAAGTGTATATTTTATAAATACGATAAAACGTAAACGTTTTTGGTCGAAATGTGGATTTTTTATTTTAGAATATATATTATACTCTATTTTTCATAATTCTGCAGAAATGTCTGACGATCGCAAAGGTCGTGAAACCGAGGGTCACACACGTACATCAACGCAACGTATATATATATATATATATATATATATATATATATATATATATATATATATATATATATATATATATAGTACATTCTGTGTTAATTTTCAACGCATAAGAGCAGAAATGAACAGTCAGTTAGCACGTATAATCTAGTGGTAATGTTTTGTGTAGAATCAACCACCTGTTTCGAAAAGAATAACGACTGAGTAATTTTGCACAATGTGCTTGGAAGTCGCCAAACAGTCCTCCTCAAATTTGAATTTTCTAAATCTGCTTCTTTGACGAAAGTCGTAGATATCTGAATAGATTGTTCTAAAACCTGTCGGTTATTTCCATATATTATGGTTAAGACCTATATCGTTATTTCCACATATTATTTAAATAAACGCGTATAGCAAAAATATGGAAAATAAAGTATAATATATATTTAAAAATTCACGTTAAACCAAAAACTTTTGCGCTTTCTCTCTTCTTTTTAAAATATACACTTTTCTCTCGTTGGAACAATTATAACCTCTCCTTTATATATATATATATATATATATATATATATATATATATATATATATATGTGTGTGTGTGTGTGTGTGTGTGTGTTAATTTAAATGTATATTTAAAATATATAACAATGACACACACGCATATATATATATAGAAAGACAAATGAGCAAAAATAGAAGAAATTGAAAAGAATATTCATCGAAAGTATACTTATATATACACAAATAGATAGATAGATAGATATGTTTATTTTCAGAACTTTTACTTACCGATCAGAAAGCCAACCACAAGATAACATTGCAACCAAATAACCAGCAAAAAATACGGTAAAAATTTGATGGCCCAGCCATTCTTTGCCACAAACCAAATTAAACTAGGAAAGATATAAAACAACAAAGATTATTGTTGAAGTTAACAAGTTAATAATTTATACAGATCTGAAATAGATTTATGATCGGATTAGATTAAGTTTTAAGAAATATTGCTATAAAATAAAATAAAAAATCGAAAACGATAGAGAGAGTTCCCAGAGAGTATTAGATATTTGAAGAAACTTGCTCTCACATAATGCTCTTCAGCAACTACCAAATGCATCAAATGGGAACTTACATGGCACTGAAGATATTGAGAATTTTTCAATTGGATGGATTCACAACAAAAATCATAAATGAGCACTCGTAGCTGGCTAAATGAATGCCGCAAAATATTGAAGTTTAATGTCGAGAACTCCTAGTTAAATCCATGAATAACTAGAAATCGAACATGATTTACGAACGAAAGGCTTTAGTAGCAATTTAAAAAAAATGTTTTCTGAACCGGTCAGTTCGTATAGCTATGATATGACGATCGCGATATCCAACTACAAGTAATATTAATTCTCAAAAACGATGTACAGTATGAACCACCACAAACACGTGAACAAACCTAAACGTGTGAAGAATAAGAAATTGATCAACAGTGCCTATGTCCGAATGAAATTGGACATAGATGCTTAATATTATCATTTCAGCATGGGAAGATCTGAGCCAAGTGAAATCGTCATACTGGATAACATAACAATCAGAATATCAACGGCACAAAATCATTATATTTTGTGATGTCAACGAGCACTCGTTGACACTTTCGTAATGCTCGTTATAGTAGAGACTTTGTAATCACAGATACAACTATCGTAATGCCGTTGAACAATATTGGTGTCAGACACTTTCGAATAACACTTTCACTAATAGTACTTCCTCGATAATAATCGAAAATTAACCATCGAATAGTGATCCTAATAGAAATCCGTATAAAGTAGTATAGTGAATAGTGTAGAGGTAGAAGATACGTATAGTAATAGAGGATAAAATAGAAGTGATGATCATTTAGAAGTTACGCTAATTTCCATATATACATTTCCTTTCACGTGATTACTGGTGTGGTTTAACACTCGCACTATTAGTACTTGCTCGATAATAACCACCGAATAGTAATTCGTATAGTGATGAGTATAGAGAGATAGTATAGTGAATAGTATAGAGATAGAGTAGATTAGTATAGAAAGAGTGATCGTAAAGTAATAGAGGATAGAATAGATATGGTAATGATATTTATTGTACAATATGTACAAATATGGCACATGGCCAAAAAAGCGGGAAAAGGGAAAATGATGGTCATCTTCAGTCTTAACGTTAAACAAAACCCAAACATACAGACACTATTACTTTCACCAAAACAACTCATTCTTACTTACCATTCTTTCCTTATACACCATAATGCCTCAGAAACTCTATGAAATCCTAACTCGTCCCCATATATACAATACATTGTCTGTGAGGGGAGGGGAATAATTTAATATTTGTTAGTAATAAAACCTCCCACAAGCCTTAATTGTGGCAGTAACATCAGTTAACTGGACGAAATCAATGCCGGACTTTGAAAAAATATAAAACATCCATGCATCCCAAGCACACACTCAAACACACACTCATTCAAACATAAAAACAGTTACGAAAATCACACCCGAAACGAAAGACGTCCTGCTATCACCAGAGAACTGATATCACTGTCCACCTAAAGATGGAAGGGAATTAAACCAAAAAGAAAAAAAAATAGAGACAAAAATAAAAGGGAGCAATGAGCAAAAATACCCTAGCTAAGTTAACTAAAGAGAAAGATCCGGGAAGAGAAACTCCCTTCCACGAACCCAACCGCAAGCCAACAAACTTATCGCGGTTGTTCTTGGACCCTGTCACCATCTCATAGTCTTTAATTTCTTTACTGACTTTTTAATTTCGGCTCTGCTCGACACACGAACTGAAACGTCATCAGCATAGGCGGAGTACCTGGCTGAGGTGGTTGCACCAGGTAAGGAAATTTCGCGAAGGACCGGATTCGTCTTCAAATTACGCAGGAAAGGTTCCAACGTAAGAACGTAAAGCAATGGAGACAGCGGACAACCTTGACGGATGAAGCGAGACAAAATGAAAGGTTTCGATCTTACCCCATTCTACCAGCATACCGGGGGGACGCATACAGCAGTCGGATCCAAGTGCGAAAGTCCGGCCCGAAACCAGCGGCCGAAAGAACAGCCTCTAGAAATTGATGGTCACCCCTATCGAAAGCCTTGGACTGATCTAAATTGATCAGTGCGGCATCACTCTCGACTTGCTTGATGATCAAGCGTACCAAATGAAAATTGTCCTGCTCGGGAACAATCAAACTAGAGAGGACAGCCTGCAAACTACCAGCTAAGACCTTGACTAAAATCTTCAACTCTGTGGTTAACATCGTCAAAGGCTAATAATTATCTATCCCATCCCCACCATCTTTGCTTTTGAGAAGCAACTTGATCACACACCTAGTGAAGTTTTGAGGTATAGACTCTTGCTTCATGCAGTTGTTGAAAATCAGTGTCAGCAATGAGACAAAGACGGATGAGTACCTCAATTACATTTTGTAAGGAAGACCATCTAATCCCGGAGTCTTGTCCAGGCCAACGTGTTTCAGCGCATCCCAGATCTCAGACTCTGTAAATGAGACCCTCGCACCCAGCCGCTTCAGCCGCTTCAGCCGCATCGAGGTGGGGAAAGTCGGCTAAATAGGCATCAAACCGATCAGTGTTCAAACCGGGCTCCATGATAAACAGCTCCTGAAAGAAGTCACGGAAAGCCTCACAAATGCTCGCATTTGTAGTCACAGTCCGCTTATCCGGCAATGTGATCCTCGCGATATGCCGACTTCCTTCGCACACAATGAAGCGGCCATGGTCATAGCCTCGCAAAACATTCTTTTTAGCCTAGCCCTAACTACTAGAGCTTAATCCTTCTTGATAAGCAAGTAGGAAGGGCTCCGCCTTAGCTAAGGCTACGTCCCTACTATCACGGGATTTAATTACCCGATCTACTTTTGCCTCACAAGACATTTGCCCTGCTAACCCTATTAGATTGAGTCGGCGACAAAAATCAGCAGCCTAAGTTTGGATTTCAGAGAATCCCACCACTTATTCCCAACCACAACCCCCGACAATTCCCGCTGTAGCATTAGTAGAAGCTGGTCCCGGAGATCTTGCTCACCAAATAATGATGAGTTCAGTTTCCAGTATCAAGCCTATGATTAGAGTAAACTATAAAATGGAAACATGGACATTCTAAGAGCCCTACGTCGACTCTCTTAGCTAGAACTCAGTCGATGTAACTTGCGCTCACCACCGAATCCGAGCTGCCGCTCCTAGTCCAAGTCCATATCACCTCCCGCGGGAGCTCATTTCGATACTTATTCACGAGATCAAACCCGTCGATAAAGTCCTGAAATGGCTTAACATCCGAGTTGTTAGTACCCAATTTTTGCCTTATACGACCTATATCGGGACCAAGGACGGCATTCCAATCACCCGCTAAAACTACCGAACGAGATGTCATCAAAAACGGTGCAATCTGCCGAAACAAATCAGGCCGCTGCGTATTCCCATTGGGCGCATAAACCCCAATGAGACGAAGAGCCTTCCCACCGTTTCCGCGAAGACAAGAGCACACGCCGCATCCAGAAACTTTCTCATCAGCCAGGAAATACCCCTCGAGCATCCATCAAAACATGCTGAATAGAGGACGAACCTCTTCGACAGAATGTCCTCACGGTCGCGAGATATAAAAAAATGGGTCTCCTGCACACAACAAACATCCACTTGCAGACGCTGAAGATCGCGATCGAGCCTCGCTCTACGAGACTCCGACCTCAGGCCCCGGGCATTCAAACTTGCTAACCAGAGAGCCCTAATTAAAGCCACTTTAGTGTTGCTCTCCTGTGTTGAACATGGCCTGGGAAAGGACACCGACGGCCTCTCCCATTGAACCGGTTCCCATCAGTATGGATGGAGCCATCGGGAGACAGGTCACCGACGTCCAAGGGGAAAGTTAATTCTATAGCTCTATACAGGGAGGGGTGAACAAAAAGTGGGAACCTCCCTGCACAAAAGTGATTCAACTTATTAAGAGTTTCGTTATCAAAACACGACGTGGGTGGAAACATGGAGAAAACTTGGTTCGCCTCTGCTACCATGGACCAAATCTGCTGCCCTGCCTCACCGGCACGGTTGACAGTCAAGACCCTCTTTGCATTGGGGAAGTTCATTGGCTCTTGAACATCTAAATTTCCCATCTTTATGAAATTTAAAAGAATCTTTAGATTTAAAAAAAATTTTTGGAATGCAAAAATGCCTTGTTTTCCAATTCCTTGGCGACCCGGCACACGTCCACTCCTATGTTATATATGGGTTTAGGCTACTTTATTTGAGAAGTTTCTGCTGTATCAGGAGACGGACCCCTTTGTTTTTTGGATAGTTCTGATTTGGGGGAGGGATAGAGGCACGAGTTTTGACTTGGGAAGGCTTTGGGGTAAGGGGTTATTTTTAAGGTTGTAAATTTAGAGGATGTGGGAGATGAGGATCTCACGACAGGAGGAGAAACCATAAGGTGTTGCTTAGAAGGAGGGGAAGACGGTGTCGAGGAGAGATTCCTTAAGTTTGTGTAGTTTTTCTGCCTTCCCCAAAAAAGGCTCATAATTTAGTCGTTGTTGCTGCAGTTTATCTGCATAGCGGGTCGGGGAGTTGCCTTTTGAACTAGTAGATGGGGCTGTCTATGTCACTAATCGTGGGGGCTTCACTGAGACGAGGACCCGCTGCCTGGAGATTCCCTCTAGCCTTACCAAAAACATGCCATTCCCTCTTTTCCTTCTCCACAACCGCACTAGCGGCGAGCAAAGGCTTTTCGTTGAGTGGGGTCAGAGACGCACCTAACCGAGGGTTTTACCATACCGGTCCTGGTTGCTGGCATGCTCTTTACAGGCGGGACGGAAACAACAAACTCGGCCAGAGGGGAATTTGGATCGCCGGAGGCC